AGTGTTGACTGTGGAGCCGAGCAAACTGAAGCTGTGAACAATCTCAATCTCTTCGTCATCCATCCTGACGCTGCCAATTGGTCCAGTGGTGAGAATCTCTGTATTCTTGACATTGAGCCTCAGTCCATACTGAAGGCTGCAGTCCTTGACCCTCTGCAGTAAGTGCATGAGGTCCTCCTCCTCAGTTTCAGCGAGTAAGGTTGTGTCATCTGCATAACGCAGATTGTTGATAGATCTTCCACCAATCCTAATGCCACGTGTCCCCTCATAGAGCCCAGCCTCTCGGATAATCTGCTCTGCATACAGGTTGAAAAGGTATGGAGATAGGATACATCCCTGGCGCACACCCTTCCCAATTTTGAACCATTCAGTGTTGCCCTGCTCTATTCTGACGATTGCCTCTTGATCCAAGTATAGGTTTCGCATATTCAGTATCATTAGCCATCACTAATCTCAATTCATCATTCTGACTCATAAGCTGACCTTCTAGAGGGCATCAAATGCTGTAAATTGCCTATCAGTCCAGTGACAAGAAGTTTTGTGTTCTCGATGTTGAGATACAGTCCACATTGAAGGCTATATTCTTTGATATTCTGTAGTAAGCACTCCAAGTCCTCCTCACTTTCAGCAAGCAAGGTTGTGTCATCTGCACAAAGTAAGTTATTGATGAGTCTTCCTCCAAACCTGATGCCCTATTCTTCTTCACAGAGTCCAGCTTCTTGAACAATTTGCTCAGCATAGAGATTAAATAGGTATAGAGAAAGGCTACAACCCTGATGTTCATCTTTCTTAAGTTTAAGCCATTCAGGGTTCCTGAGCTCTGTTTACATGGCAGCCTCTTGGTCTAGGTCCAGCTTTAATTGAGCACAATTAAGTGTTCTTGGATTCCCATTCTTCCTAAATTTAGCCATAATTTGTTATGATCCACACAGTCAAATGCCCTTTGCACAGTCAGTGAAAAACCAAATAGGCATCCTTCTTTGCTTTTAACCAAAATCCATCAGACATCAGTAATGACAACCAGAAGAATATAATCAGTGTCACTAAATGGTACATGTAGAAATTGTGGGATTGGTGTATGTTTTGCTGTGTATACTCAAATAATAAGACTACAACTAAAACAGTAAACAAATTAGCCTGTAGAAACTCTATGAACTTTGATAAATGATGATACTTATAGAAAGGCTTCAGGCCTTTTGTTCATAGGGTCGCTCTGAGTCGTGCTCAACTCGAAGGCAGTCAATAACCATCTGTAAGTTAAAATGTGACCTCAACATATGCAGTCTGTGTGGCTGTTGTTGTTACGTGGCAGTCAACTGAGTACAAATCACAGTGACACTCAAAATGAGTCATAGTGACATCTCAAAGGTATGAATTCTTTTTATGTCATCCTTATTCACTGTTCAGCTCTAAGATGCATAGTAAGTGATTGAAAAGACCATGGTTTGAATCAAGTGCACCTTAGTATTCAGCCTCTATCTCTTAAAATATTTTTCCCTAGAGGAAATGTTTATTGTAAATATGCTATTGCTGTAATTAATAGAGGCAAATAATTTTTCCTTTTTGATCAAGTTGAGTAGAAAAAGATCTCAGAAAGAAAGAACGATTAATTTTATAGTTTTCCTTTTTGTTTGGAGGGGATTTCATTAGGCTATATGATGTCTCAAGGTCAAATTTTGGTTCCTGTGGATTTAATGTTTTTTTGTTTTTGGTTTTTTTTTTTTTTTTAGTTTCAGCTTGAACGTGCATAAGAGTAGTTGGTCTGTTCCATAATCAGCATCTGGCCTACTTTTCACAGGTGCTATCGAGCTTCTCCAGCAATTCTTTCTACAGATGTAATCGATCTAATTCTTATGCATACCATCAGGTGAAATCCATATGCATAGCCTGCGTCTATGATTCTTATAAAAAGTATTTGAAATGAAGAAATTGTTGATTGTACAAAATTCCATCATTCTATCTCCAGCTTACTTTTTGTCACCATGTCCATGTTTTCCAACTACTGATCCTTCTCTGTTCCCAATTTCTGCATTCAGTCATCCATTATTATTAATGCATCTCAATTTTATGTTCAATTTCTGACTGCAAAAGTTGGTAGAAATATTCTATTTCCTGCTCTTTAGCTCTAGTTTTTGGTGCATGTATTTGAACGATATTGGTATTCATTAGACTTCCTTGTATGTGTATGGATATTATCCTGTCCTTCACATTATATTTCAACATGGATCTAGAAATGATTGTTTCAACTATGAATGCAATCCCATTTTTCCTCACCTTTCATCTCTAGCATAGTATATCATATGATTGTCTGATTCAAATGTCCCATGCCAGTTCATCTCATTTCACCAAGACCTAATAGGTCAAAATTTATGCATTCCATTTCTTTCTTAACAATGTCCAATATTCCTACATTCATGCTTCTCACATTCTATGTTCCAATCACTGCAAAGTATCTGCTTTAAACTATTCCTCCTCCTCTGTTTCCATATTTGAAGACTCACCCTCAGTTGCCATATCTTCTGGTCTAAGTGTACTCTGGAAGCAGCAGTGGCATCTACTTTCTAAACAACATGCCTTGAGAAAATCTATGAACTTTGATAAATGATGACAGTTATAGAAAGCCTTCAGGCCTTTTGTTCATAAGGTTGCTTTGAATTGTGCTCTACCCAACAGCAATCAACAGTAACAACAGCAACTACAAGTGTACTCTATTGTACATTATCAAACAATGCTATTAATATAACACGCAAGCAAGATTCTGCTGAAAATGATCCAAAAATGACTGGAACAGCATATCAACAGAGAAAATGCCAGATGTGCAGGCTTGTTTCAGAAGAGGCCATGGTACTAGGGATAGTATAGTTAATGTTAGATGAATCTTAGCTGTAAGCAGAGAGTACCAGAGGAATGTTTATTTGACCGAGCAAAGGCATTTGTTTGTGCGGATCACAACAAATTGTGGCTATTCTGAGAAGAAGGGGAATCCTAGAACACTTGATTGTGCTTATGTGAAACCTATACTTGGACCAGGAGGCAGTTATCAGAACAGAGCAAGGAAACACTACATGGTTCAAAATTGGGAAGGGTGTATACAAGGGATGTGTCCTATCTCCATACTTTTTCAATATATATGCAGAACAGATCACCTGGGAGGCTGGGCTCTATATGGCGGAATGTAGCATTAGGATTGGAGGAAGACTCATCAACAACCTATGTTATGCAGATGACACAACCTGCTTGTTGAAACCAAGGAGGACTGAAGTGCTTGCTGTAGAAGGTCAAGGACTGAAGCTTTCAATATGGATTAAAGCTTAATATCAAGAAACAAAGATTTTCACCACTGGGTCAATTGGCAACATCATGATAGACGGTGAAGAGATTGTTAACAACTTTAGTTTGCTCAGCTCCATAATCAACACTCTTGGTTCTAGCAGCCAGGAGATTAAAAGGTGAATTTCCTTGGCAAAATCTGTCATGGACCTCTCCAGAATACTAAAGAGCAATGATGCTAGTCTCCAGACTAAGGTGTGCCTGATCTAGGACATGGTCTTTGCAATTACTTGCTATGCATCAGAAAACTAGACAATGACTTGTTGTTGTTGTTGTTAAGTGATGTCAAGTCGCAGGCAATTCATAGCGACCCTATGAAGGAGAGTCCTCGACGCTTGGGTGCCTTTCATCCTCTCTCCAAGTTCACAGGGTTTCCAGAGGCAAGCTATTATGGAAGTGGATGCCATTCCTCCTTCCAAGCTTGTTTTAATCAAGGAGCTCCACCCCACTCTCTGTCCGCATTGGGTAGTGAACCATTAACGCATTTGACACATCCGTGTCACAGTGTTCAGCCTCACAGCAACCACAAGTGACCACGGTACAGCAACTTGTATACCAGGGCTATACGACCTAGAGGAATGTCTGAACAAAAATAATGAAAAACTGGCCCAAGGGCCTCCTCTCCCCTCTTTCCCTTTTGGGCTTGAAGCCCCCTGCTGCCTTAAACCCTAGGCCAAGCCTGACTTGCCTGGCTCCTGGAGGCAGAGTAATCCTTTACGTCTAAAAGCTGCCGCAACCCCCGCACATACAGCACCATGCTCTCTCTGGTAACCAGGTCATGACAGCCCCGGGAGGAGCAAACCTGGGAGAATATGGCCGCCTCCTCTCCCCTCTTCCCCTTTTGGGCTTGAAGCCCCCTGGTGCCTTAAACAATGACTAGGGATGATAAAAGGAGAATTGATGCCTCTGAGTTGTGCTGGAAAAGAGTATTGAATGTACAATGGACTGCTAGGAGAACAAACAGGCTTATCCTAGAGAGCATGAAACCAGACTGCTTCTTGAGGTAAGGATTCTGAAGCTTCATCTGATATACTCTGGACATGTTTCAAGAAGGAGCCAGTCCTTGGAGAGGGACATCATGTTTGGGAGGGTGGAAGGACAGTGGAAGAGAGGAAGACCCTTGATGAGATAAATTGATTCCATGACTGGGGTAATGGGGTAGGTGTGTCAGAGACATTAAGGTTAGGATATGATAGAGCAGGGTTCAGAGCAGTTGTACACAGGGTCGCTTTGATTCACAAGTGACTTGATGGCACATAACAACAACATATGATGACTATCTTTCTTAAGGTGTCATCTTTGATGACAGCAGATCTACTAATGCCTTAAGTACTAAGAGGGAGGATGAGCATTGCTTTAGGTTCCAAATAGATAAATAATGGAAGAGGAAAAGGTCTCAAGGAAAAAGGGAGGAAAAAATCAGAAAGAATTGAGAAAAGAAACTAAGTTCATATGATAATAAATACAAATAAGTGAATATATTTGTTTATAATTAGTCTCACCATAAAAAAAATATTTTAGTATTTTATTTATGGATACCCAAAACTGTTGCTGTCATTGAGTCTGTTCCAGCAGGTGGCTATGGGATTAAATGTGTCAGAAATGGTGAAGTTGGTTCAGGATTGGGCAAGGTTCAGAGCCGTTGTTCATAGGGTTGCAATGAACCGTAGTCAGATAAAGGGCAAATACCACCACCAAAAATCTTGTGGGAGGAGGTTGCTCATCTTCACAAGGAAAGCTTCTGGTGGATTCAAACAGAGGAACTGCCCTTGAATGGGCAGTGCTACTCCCTATGGGCTCTATGACTAGTATTTATAGACTTCCTAATCATTTAGCATTTGTAAAACTGCACTAGAATTTTTATTGTGCTCCTAGTTTGGTCACTGAAAACATTCTTTATGTAGTGCCACTAATACAATGTTTCCATGAGCTTTGTGATTTTTACTGCACAAAAACGCATAGTGAAGTGATTTTTAGGAACTCATAAGTCACATTATAACTGAACTGATTGTTTACAATCATTCTTCGCCTCTACCAGGAATGTCCTACCCACTTAAAAATTCTATCTATCCCCCAAGAGCCTCCTCTTTAAGGACCTTTTCCCCCAAGAGCCTCCTCTTTTAGGACCTTTTCCTTCACTATCTCAGTAAGGGAGAAAAATAAAGAAACAAATCAAAAACCCAAAACCAAACTTCAAAACATTTTCCTGGACCACATTCACACGTCTGCTATAAATTATTCTGGTTTTTCAAGTATTGAATAAACATGCTGGTCTCTTTTCCCACTGATGATTTGAACTCACCTTATTTGCATTTGTCATTGCTTCTTCTAAAAACTGTATCTTGCTCTGAAGGGCATCTATCTGACCTCTTTTGGCTGTAATTTGCTTTTGCATCCCCATTGCCACTTTCATGGCTGGAAAAAAAGGAAAACAAACTCTGCCTTAGTTTTTAATATTTCTGATGAGTTGGCATTGACTTGACAGCAATGGTTTTGGATTACTGCAATTAAGATGTTCAAGCCTTGAGAAGGTGACAAGCAAGACTCTGCAAAGTATGTAGACAGATGATGATCTGATGTTTCTTTGCTATTGGAATCCATTTTATTGATCATAGTAAGATGTCATTTATAATGATAATAATTTAGACTGTGTCAACATGGCTAGAATTCTTAATATAATTTAACTATATGAGAATTCCAGAACATTTGATTGTGCTTATGAAAAATATATACTTGGACCAGGAAGCAGTTACCAGAACAGAGTAAGGAAACACTGCATGGTTCAAAATTGGAAAGGGTGTACACCAAGGATGTGTCCTATCTCCATACCTTTTCAACTTATATGCAGAACAGATCACTTGGGAGGCTGGGCTGTATGAGGAAGAATGAGACATCAGGATTGGAGGAAGACTGATCAACAATCCGTGTTATGCAGATGACACAACCCTGCTTTCTGAAACCAAGGGGGACTGGAAGCACTTGCTGCAGAGGGTCAAGGACTGAACCCTTCAAAATGGATTAAAGCTTAACATCAAGAAAACAAAGATTTTCAACACTGGGCTGATTGATAGCATTATGACAGATGCTGAAGAGACTGAGATTGCTAATGGCTTTGGTTTGCTTCGCTCCATAATCAACACTCTTAGTACCAACAGCCAGGAAATCAGAAGACAAATTTCACTGGGAAAGTTGGCTGTCACGAATCTCTCCAGAGTACTGAAGAGCAATGACGTCAGGCTGGAAACTAAGGTGTGCCCGATCCAGGCTATAGTCTTTGCAACTGCATGCTATTCATTGGAGAGCTAGACAGTGACTAGGGATGATAGAAAGAGAATTGATGCCTTTGA